ACATCACCTAAAAAGGAAGGAAAGTGGTTTATAAAAATCATGAAAATATACAAAAAAGTGACTTTTAGAGCTGCTAAAGTGTAATAAACAAAAGTCTTGACTTTAATTTTTTTCTTCATATGTAGTCCTAACATTGTACTTCTTGCTGATGATATTTCAATTTTGAAAACCTTGTCCTTTTTTAAATATGAATTTTTAAAAACACTCAAAAGTTGTTTTCGCCAATTTTATATGTTATATATCACAAAAGGGACTGAGTGAAAAAATATGAAATTGATGCAATTTATACCTCTTAATGATAAGAATGTGTGATACGAATTTGATCATTAAGACTCAGTTGGTTCTATTAGTTATAGTGCAACAAATATAGCTACCTAGTGTTAATCAGTATCATTAAAATATACAGACTGTACCCTACCTACGCCATTTTTGCAGATATCAAAACAAAACAAAAACTAAAACTATTATGATGTTTTACTCTAAATTTTTTGTCCTCACAATATATCTCATAAGTAGTGAGGAAAGTTGTTTAAAAAAATGACAAGTATAAAATTAAAATTAACATAAAACGAGAAATTTAGCGCAGCAATACTGTAATAATGAAAAGTCTCAAATTTAATTTTTTTTTTCATACGTAGTCCTATCGGTGTACTACTTGCTAATGAAATTTCAATCTTGAAAACCTTGTAATTTTTTAGATATGAATTTTCAAAAACCGCCAAAAGTCATTTTCGGCGACATTTGAATTTGAATATCATAAAAGGGACTGAGTAGAAACTAATGAAAATTGTACATTTTATAACACTTTTTAAGAAGGACATGGAACAAATTTAGAGACTTAATCGGCTCCAGAGTTATATCGTATCAAATATGTCTGAAAATTGAGTTATTTAAACGATAAATCAGCATATGAAATTGAGGAACTGAATTGAATTTTAGTTATTATTACACAAATTCTTCATAAAACACAAATTACACAGAATCTTCATAGAAAAAATCAGGAAGTCAAATTTGATGAAATAGGAGATATAGAAAGCATATACTCCAACTTAATAACGTGTATTAAAGATGCACATGGAACGGAAACTAAGATTCTGAAAACTAAAGATAAATGAAGCAATAAATTATCTGAAGAAACCTGGAAACTTATAGAAGAGAGAAAAAGATTAAATAGAATTGTAAAAAAACCATTGGAACAAAAAGTAGATAGTAAGGAGAAAGATTGCTCTCGATTTCAAATATTATAATGAAAAAGTGATATACGACTGCCTACAGAGTACAGGATCCATAAAAGAAATCAAGGCACAAACTGATACATTTAGCAAGAAGCTTATTAATAAGATCAATTCGACTGAAGGAATCAGTATAAAAATGACAAGAAATAGTGCAAGAGATAACTAAGTATTATAGGAACTTATACAAGGATAAAAGCAAAACAAAATCAGGAAACTACCCAAAAATAACAAAAGAGAAAAACAACGAAGATCTAAGTATTCTGCAAGAAGAGATAGAAAAGTCAATAGAATGCTTGAAAAAGAAAAAGGCAGTAGGTAGCAATTCCTAACAAGCTTATTATTGAATGGAAAGAAGCATTAATAAAACCTCAGTATTATCTTTAATAAATAATTAACGAAAAGTCAGAACAACACGAGTGGAAAATGAGCAACTCTTCTATAATATAATAAAAAATTAATATAATTATAAACACTATTTAACAGGAACCTTGATATAGAATAAGCTGGATCTCGACCCACACTCAGTACAATAGATCAACTTCAATGTGTTAACCAGATCATCGAGAGAAGTAGAGAATATGGCTTGCAATTCTACTTATGTTTTTTTGATTATTCCAAGGCATTTGACATAAATAAATTTGGGAAGCTCTAAACGAATATGGCGTTGACAAACTCTACATTGATGTAATCATTGAACTATATAGGAATGGAAACACATTTTTAGCTTTAGATAGGGAAGGCAATTACTTTGAAGTTGAACTAGGAGTCAAACAAGGGTTATTAAATTGTGTTCTAAACAAATTGTTCAAAGCATGGGCGGGGTGGCCGAATGGGGGGCTAAAGCGTGTGCACTGTACCGCTGTTGCCTGACATATGAATCAAAGATATAAAAATAGTCACGAGTTCGTGTCCCGGTGCCAGGGGAGTCTTTTAAATCCCCGCCCACACTCCCTGGCCCGGGAAAATCCCGTATAGCCTTAACGGCGAGGAAGGGAAGGACAAAAAAAAAAAAAAAAAAAAAACTATTGAATTGGGAGAACAAGGGAATATCAGTCAATGGGAAATCACTGAGCAGCCTAAGATTTGCTGACGATATATGCTTACCATCACCAAACATAGGAGGCCTTAAAGGAATGATTGGAGAATTAGTGGAAACCAGTAAAAAACATGGACTGAAAATGAATATGGGAAAAACTAAAATAATGACATACTCCACTGAAATTCCAATTTATGTAGATTATAAACAGGTAGAATATGTAGAAGAATATATTTATTTGGGTCAAACAATAACATTCAATGAAAAAATGAGTAAAGAGATCGACAGAAGGATAAAGCTTGGATGGTACGAATATTGGTTCCTCAAAACGATTTTTAAAAGCAATATAGCAATAAACCTTAAAACCAAAATTTTGATTATTTGTGTTTATCCTACAATTCACTACGGTGCACAAACTTGGACATTGACTAGGAAACTTGAACTCAGGTTGAACGTTATGCAGATGAAGCTTTTTAGCAGTTTAATGTCAATCAAGAAGAGAGAAATAAAGACATTGTCTGAAAAGTGGATATTAAAACCTTAAGGGCTGAAGCTCATCGATTAAAGTGGAACTAAGCTGGACATGTGGCGAGGTTGGAGGATGAATGATGGTCCAAAGCATGTACTGAGTGGATCCCAAGAGAGAACAGCAGGAAAAGGAGCCGGCCGCATCTGAGATAGAGGGATGAAATGATACATGTAGGCGAAGACTGTTGCCTTGTGGCTACGGATAGATACAGATGGAAACAAGTTATAAACAATATTTAGTTGCTTTGTTTTGTTTTATTATATTATGTTTGTCTTTTTATTAACCGAGTGCTTCCAAGACTGTTCTGTTTACTGTATGGCTTTGTTTTGTTTTGTTTTTCTTAGGTCTTACATGGTTATTTAAAAAACAAAATTCATATCTATTTTGTTTTATTTAAAAAAAAAGAAAAGAAAAAAAATTGTAATAATTTAAACATATTTTTCATTCAGTGCTGTAGCCAACTCCGTTAAAATTCCTCCTTAGGGAGATGCTTTTGTCAATAAAGCTTATTATTATTATTATAATGTACTAATGTGTATAAATATTTGATCAGTGGTTGAAAAAAATAACATAAACAAAATATGCAATTGCATAAAAATTCAGGCCTTGCTTATCATTTATGGTGTGTGGCCTACAGATTTTAATCAATAAAGTATACATCATGAAATTGACATGTTTAAGGCGGTCTGAAGAAATGCCCCAATATTTTTGTAGGCCACTATGACCATTAGATTGTACTCACTTTTTATATCCCTAGGGTTGATATAGATTTTTTTTAAAAATGGTCAAGAGCTTGCAAAAAAAAATGTTCAAAAGGCATCAATAAACTTCAGGGGAAGTTTAAGAACCCCTAACCTTTTTATTATAGAATATTATATATATATATATATATAATATTTATATATATAAATATATAAAATATAAAAGCTTGCTGCCCAATTATATTGGGTTGCTATACACACAGCATACTCGTTAATCCGTAGTACGATAAATAAACTTATATATAAATATACAAAAGTGCTTAGTCTATACGAGTATAATAAATATATATATATTTTTTCCCCTTCCTTTCATTGTTCATGCTTTTTTTTTCAACATTTAATTTCCCTTTCTCTCACTTCTCTCTCTTTATCCCTCTTTATACACAATATTAAGATGCTTAAAATGATAATAGAACAACAACAAAAAACAAAAGTGTATGCATCTAGAATTAAATAAAATTTAATATAACACAAATATAATAGACATTTTTCATTAAATAAATAAATATATAAATTTAAACTCTCAGCCTAGCCGTGCACGTGGTGGTGAATGATTCCCAGGGAGTCGAGGACTATATTTTCAGCCTACCACGCTACTTCCTTAATGTCGACACCTAGTTTCTCGAGGAAGCTCCTTGTTCTTTTTGGAATTGTTCCGTGAGACCCAAACCAGAGGCCTCTCACGGTGAACTCTCTTTCTCCGAAAGTCTCACAGAATTTCTCTTTCAGGAAAGGGATACATTTATCATACGTGTTCTTGTTTTTTTCCTTTCCACTACACCCACCTGATCGAGGTCATTGCTCTCAAAGCGGACAGTTGGATCCAAGATCAGCGCTGTCCATCCTGTCTTGGGAAATACGACAATATCCGCGTATCTCGTAAAGCCTTCACTATCGATGCAATCAATATACCTCGTCAAAGCAGGTGAATTTCCTTTTCCCTAAGGACTCAAACTCAAACTCAAACTTGGCTCTATGGTGACGACGTATTATGAGGAGAGAGTTGTTAGGGCATTTTCTCAGCACATGGACTAATGTTTCAGACTCTCTGCCGCTTAATAACACACATTCATACATACTTCTCATCTCAATATTTTCCCTTTGTGACATTTTTCACTATTAAACATTCATTTAAAAACAAAGTGTACATTAAATAAGATATGTTCTGTTTTTAGATACATGCTTGATAATGGACAATAAATCCAAAATGTCAAAAATGTACGTACAAAGAAATAAAAAGTACGAAATGTTATTCTTCTTCTAAAAATTTGAAAAATATAAGTTTAAAAATTGACACAAAGACCAATAACAGTAAAAAACGTTGATAAATGGATAATTAGAACATTATTTATAAATCTCAACCTTCCCATTCTGGCTAGAATAGGTTGGTAATACGCAGAATAGCTTCAATAAAAAAGGATCATAAATCAAAACAAACAAACAGTGTTATAACCAGTATTTATTTTAATTATCTATAACAACCTATACATTATTATTGAATATATTACAAAAATGTGGCGACTAGGGCTTGAGGAATGACTCAGCAGTCGCTGCGACTGAATAAATTAGGCAGCCGCTACAAGGGCTTCAGCTACTTCAATAGCAATGAGTGCTTCGGCTTTTTCCTGCTCAGAGGTGGCCTTCGATAAGTCCCCTTGTGCTTTAGAGAGCTGCTCCCTAGCTGCGGATGCATCAAGGTCTTCAACAGGGTGGGCTTCCTCTGCCAATACTTGTACTGAAGAGTCCTCATTTATTGTAACCTAAAATAATTAAATGTGAATGATCAGCAAAGACGTCAATATAAAAAAAAATGTGAATGATCAGCAAAGACGTCAACATAAAAAAAAAAAAAAGTCGGTTTCCTTGGAGACAACATGAAAACTTAATGAAAAAATGCGACATATTTTTAAGGGGATAAAGCAATTGTAGAATATTGTTTTTGTTAATAAGGCAGAGTAATAGTACTGTATTTATAATATTTCCAAGCCAATCATAACCTTTTCTATTTCAATTGTAACTCTTTAAGGTCAGATTTGAATAGTAAAGTATAATATTTGAAATGGAAAAATTTGCATTTGATTTGGAAAAGGGTTACATTTCAAATGGAAAAGGTTACATTTGAAATTAAAAAGGTTAGTTACTTTATCTAAGATAAGTTTGAGGGTGAGAGAGATGCGCAGTGGCAAAACATTATCCTGCCTGCCCACCACTCTTTTTGTCTTCTCTGCTCATTCATACGTACTTATAAATTTTTGTTTGCAAGCAGAAATTTCTTTTATCATTTTGTTTTTCCATTTATTTTCCTATTTCCTACATTGATTGACAGAAAGATTGTTTACTGTGATTTATTTGATTCGAGCTTATACAGTACAGTCTAAATTAATACTGTGGACAATATTCTTTGTTTACATTCAGAAGTAAATGAAAAAGGCTCCTCCCCATTATTGAATATCCGATAACGTAGTATCGGATTCTTTTCTGTTCTATATTTTCCATCTATTTCTTGATTTTTATACTGATCTATTTCTTGGTAAATTTAGATCTACAGATCCTAGTAATAACATCGAGTTCCGTGAACAGTAGACATCGCGAATTCATATTTTTTTTTTCTCAATTTGATTATTTTCCCATTCTTTTAATTGTTTCATTTTATTTTATTTTATTAATCCCTACCTTTAATAGACATTTGTGCGAAATTTGAAGAAAATGGAATAACGCTTTCCCGTTGTAAAGTGGTTGCATTGGTGAAGAGAAGTGGAGATGGAGAGAGGTCTTGCGGAGGTGAAACTTGAGTGGTAGAAAGCTGCGCGAGCTTTCTTTCCTTACACTCAAACTTAACTTAGATGCACTATACAATTGGCTTAGAACAGCTATACTTATTAACTTGACAGATGAGTGGGCGGGGTGGCCGAATGGGCTAACAAGTGTGCACAGCACCGCCGTTGCCCGGCAACCTGACATATGAGACAACTATGAAAAATAGTTCCGAGTTCGCATCCCGGTGCCGGGAGTCTTTTAAATCCCCACCCCCACACTCCCTGGCCCGGGAGAACCCTGTATAGCCTTAAAGGGGTTGATACAAAGAGGAAGGGGATGATACAAAAAAAAAAAAAAAAAAAACTTGACAGATAAGTGAGTATTTTCTATCTCTAAAATAAAATATCAATTAATGGACTTGGTGTAAGTGATTTTCATGATTTAATTGTTTCATAAAAACAAATAAATTATTGGTTGTCCAGAAAATTACATAGGATTTTGGTTTAAAAAGATAAAATAAAGATTTACAACTATTTTTATTAATCAAAATAGTCTCCACTACTATCAGAAAATTTCTGCCAACGTGTTGGCAACTTTTCCATTCTCTCGGAATAGAAATTCCCATCTTTAGAATTGATAAACTCCAAAAACGCATTTTCTAATTCCCTATGTCTATTAAATTTGTTATCACGTACAGTAAAGGTAAAAAGTTTAGACTCACTTGTATTTCATTCACAATCTCCAAGATTAATAAAATAATTTTAACTCAACATATAAAATATTAAAGATAAACATCATACTAATCCTCTTTCAACTTAAAACTGTTAACTATTCCTTCAGGATCCCTTTATTTTGTGATTTATCAGGTGAACTTAATAATAATAAAAGAAGAGCTGACAATCTGGGAGACCTAGAATAACATCAAAACGCAAGTACGAGTTCATCTTCATTCAAAGTAAGCATTATTATGGGTATTACTAGAAAGCTATTTTTTTTTCCCCTTTTTTTCTCTGAGCTAAATTATGCAGCTATTACAGAAAAAAACATTTCTTAGTGAATCATGGGTTGAAACTCGAAAATTGAATTTGAACCTGTGAAAATTCCAAACTTTCAATTCCAATTTTCCATAAATATGATTTTTGCACTTGACACACTACACACAAATGCTACAGATATGTATATATACATGGGGAAGTGAAAGTAATAACAAGGATTGCTGATAAGTTGGTTTTCTCAGGATAATTTTTTTTAATTAAGTAAACACTTACAAAATTATCTTTTTAATCATTTGCTTTTTAAAAGTAAAAATGAAAAATAAATAAATCTTACCGTTCCACTTGAAACAAAAACTTTCTTAGAGGAGCCATCTTGTTCAAAAACAGTAACAACACCAGGTTTCAAAACAGCAAGAGTTGGAACGTGTTTAGGGAGGATACCAAAAGCTCCACTGAAAGAGGGAACATCAACTTGTTTCACATTGGAGTTGGCATAGAAAACCTAAAAATTTAAATTTACCACTATTAAATTATAATTTTAAAACTAGAACAGTAAAACTGTAAGATATTCCATCCTTATAGATAAATAAAAGATTAACTAGTCTCTAAATAACAAATACATATGTACATAGTTCTGCCATGAATACTGTAACAAAAGTTGAACTTAGTTTACAACTTTGGGTATTATTAAGATAATCCTTACCTCCATCAGGTTATTTTCTTTACATGTCAGGATAATAATCCCAATTAATTTTCTTTCGCTCAGTTAACATGGAGTGTGGTGATAAAGAAGACTAAATATCGCCTTACACATAGTTGGAAAATGTAGGTCAGAGATTTTCAACACTTTGAAACCTTTGTGTAACAGCCATATGTTCGTGTGCCGCACTATAAATAAATATAATGAGACCCTATCTGTATGTGGCAGACCTCAACCCTGCTGTCCCCGCACTGTGAGAATGGCAAATGCAGTGAGAGCAGTGGCAGCTCGAATCAGAAGAAATCCCATTCAAAAACAACAAACCATGTCTCGGAAAATGGGAATCTCTGTCAGATCAATTTTTTGCATAATAAGAAGTGACCTTAGGATGGGTGCATTTCAAAGAATGACAGAATAAAGGCTAACACTTCCCTAAAAAAAATGGAGTGGATAGATGCAAAGTGCTCCTTGGCCGTTACACCAATCGTCTTCATCGAAATTAAACTTGAAGAAAAATTTAATCGCCAAAATGTTTGTGTGTACACAAACAACTCTAAAGAAGCCAAGGAAGTCATTGGAAGAGTGGAAAGAGGTCATCACCTTTCCTCAGTGATGGTTTGGTGGGGAGTTTGCTTTTACAGCAACACAAAGCTCCATTTTTGTGAAAAAGAAGTTAAAACAGCCGCTAAAAACTATCACAACGATATTTTGGAACCTGTTGTCAAGCCTCTAAATGATACTCTATTTGCTGGAAGTCATTGGGTTTTCCAGCAGGATTCCGCTCTAGCTCACAAGGCCAGGTCAACTCAGCAGTGGCTTCAAAAGAACATTCCAGAGTTCATATCTGCCTTGGATTAGCCCTCAGCACTGATCTCAACCCACTAGATTATCGGCTTTGGTCCGAACTGGAGAGAATGGCATGCCACAGAGCACACCCTAACTTGGAAAGCCTCAAACAATCTCTGGTCCGAGCAGTTGAGCACTTTCCATAAGAAGTGCTGCTGTTACTATTGATGACTGGCCACAAAGATGAAACGCCTGTGTCAAGGCAAAAGGGAGACATTTTGAGTAATTTCTTTTTGGTTTAATTCTCTATAGATATACATTTTATTTTCTAACAAAGTTTTTGAACAAATTAATTTTCCTGTTGAAATCTGTATATATTTCCTTGTAACAAGATTTATGACAGGACTAGGTATATACTCAAACATATAAACAGCTTTACCCGTGACTTCGCTAGCAAACATTCCTTTTCCACACTTACAACAAAGCTTTTCCTGATAAGTGTCTAAAGTTTTTGATAAGTAATCACTATAATGTATATAAAAATTGAGTTTGCCAGGATACAGCATACTATAATTTAAATTACAATTAAAATACTCTGTATCCTTGCTAATTTTGGTCAGATTTTGATGACTTTTATTCAATTTTGTAGAGAATTTTCATCAGCTTTTAAATAAGTATCTGTTATTTCCCAGGAGATGTTTAGTTTTAGATTTATTAGGTGAACGATTTTATTAGCAAAGGAAATAAAAATTAACTCACTCTAGAGCTTCAAAAACTCATTGGCTTACTTTTAAATTAAATTAATTGAATAAATCCACTTAACGAAAACCACTTTTCTTCTTATTTCAGTTAGGAAAAAGAAAAATGATTTGTCTTAATAATGCTTACCTAAGGAAATTGAATAGAGTTTAAAAATCAATTGAACAGCTCAATTTGTTACTCATGTTGAGTTTTTTTGTAGTAGAATATAAGAGAGATGTATACAGAGAGATAAAGAGAGAGAAAGGAGAGAAAGAGAAATTAATGTTTAAAAAAAATAGATGAACAAGAAAAAAGAAAAGGAGAAAAAAAAAATTTATTTATTATACTCATATATTTTCAACTAGTTCTGTATATTTACATCTAAGTTTTATTGATTGTCTAAGGATGCTGTGTATCTAGCAACCCAATATAATTGGGCAGCACACTTTTATAAGATAAGAAAAGATAATAAGAAAATAAAATAAGAAAATAAATAAATAATCAAAATAGTTGGGAAAGGCAACCATGAAAGATACTTTTCCAATGCCAACTCAATTTAACACAATCAGGAGTGGCTGTAAATAAGCATAAAACCTTTAAAATGTGAAGAAAAAAAATGATGAAGAGGGATTTAAAAAAGTTGAAACCTCCAAAAGAACTTCTCTAAAACCACATCTCAAGTTTCAATCCCTTATCTCAATTGGAGAGATATTAAGAGGAATGCGAAACCTTAAAACATTGAGAAAAATGATGGAGTGTAAAACAAATATTGGGACCCCTCTAATATTATAACTCAATTCACAGAGAGTGGTGGCGGTCTAAGAGGCAGACCCATGTCCAAAATATGTGTTGCTCAGCTACCCAATAAACCGAAGACTATGAGTTCAAATCCTGGTGCCAGAGAGACTTTAAACTGGCATTAATTACCTGTCCTCTACCATGGCCATGAAAAACACCGTCTAGCCGAAAGGTGTAGAAGTGGTCAGAAACATTATTATATTTAATTATCACCCCACAATATAACCTTAACATTATGTGTAATTCAGTTCACATTTATTTATTTACAGTGACAGTGATAAAAATTATGACTATTTGAATCATGGATGATTAGAATTCTGGAAATCAGTTACCTCCATACTCTTTCAGACAAACACGTCAATTTTCGGCAATCCACGTAACGGTGTGATTGACGTGATCTCAGCCACAAATCATCCAGATGGAGCACTAGCGAATTATTATCAAACATTATGTTTTTCGAGAAGTATTTGGTCGGGGAGGTGCGGTCTAATAAATACTAAATTTTTAAAATAGTATTATAATCGTTACGCCTATTTTTTCTTCATTTTTAAATGTTCCTGAGAAGATGATGTTTTAAATACACTTAATAGTGATGTTTTAAATACATTAAAAGTGATGTTTTAAATACACTTACAAGTGATAGTAAGTTAAAAAGAGCAAACCTTATTAGCTGCAGCGAATGTGAATGCCATCTCATCCGCATAGCCCCTAACAGCTTGTTTTAAAATAGGCTGTGAAGAGAGAAGCCTCAAAACAGATCTGGTTGTGCCGACAGAAGCCATTCTAAGGCAAAATAGAGAATTTTTAATTCACCAATCTGGGCATAAAAGTGAATGAGGTTATAAAAGAAGATTATACACCAGAAATCTTATGAACATAAGACATTTTCAGGAAATTTATATAATTAAATATATTTTAAATAGATAACTTACTTTTCTTAATGGAAATTTGATAATAGACAAGGGTGAAAAAAATAGGTCTTATCGGCAAAACCTTAACAGCTGAAGAAAATTATGGGGAACACTAGCGCTGTTGCAGAAGTGAAAACTATTTGAAAATATCAAGGGGTCCAAGATATCATTCACAGATATTTTTATTCAAATGGACCCTTCTTCGTAAATGTTTAAAATTTTGTTATTAAATTCGCTGACGTTATCCATGTGTGAAGGAAATGTGGACAGCCCGATTTTAAACATTTCAGAAGAAGGGTCCATCGAATGAGCTAGTCATTGAGTGAATGTTTCTTTTTTCTCAAGTGAGCTATTTCCTTTTTCATATTCTATAAATCATTGATTTTAGTTGGGAGTAAGCAATAGGTTTCACAAAATTTATCCTTAAATTACTTTAATATTTTCATTTTTCTATTAACATCTTAATTTTTCTTATTTTTTAAATGTTTCTGAGACGGTTTTGTTTTAATTATTATACTCAAAGTTGTTGTATCAGACACTTTTGGGTATTATTTACTCCTTGAATCAGCTACTTTTCAATATCTGATACATACAACCTTACCCACAAACGGATCCAGAATTTAATTTGGAGGAAGGGCTCCAGCCGAAAGATTTTTTTTGTACGTATTCTTCTTCTTCTTCAATGGCCACAGTCCTTGTAGAACCTGGGCCTCTGCCACCACTCTCCTCCACTCCTCACGGTCCGCAGCAAGATTCCTCCAATTTCTGATCCCCAGCCTCCTCAAGTCTTTTCCCTCCTGGAGTACCATTCAGCATCATTTTTGGAAGTCTACTGAGATCCATTCTTTCAACATGACCCAGCCATCTGAGCCTGTCCTTCTTAATGACACTAAGGATGTCTGGCTCTCCATATAACTCCATTAACTCTGTGTTGCTTCTTATTCTCCATCTATGCTGCTCTTTGACAGCTCCAAAGATCTTCCTTAGGACTCTTCTCTCCCAAACCAGCAAGGCTCTCCTGTTTTCCTTGGTCCTAGTCCACGTCTCACTGCCATACAAAACGACCGATCTAATCACCGTTTTATATATTACTATATTTGCCTCCCTGGATAGAATTTTGTATAGGAGCGCCTTTTGCAGAGCATAGGAACATACAGTTCCTGCAACCATCCTGGCTTTTCTTTCTGCTTCCAAATTATTGTTTTCTGTCACTATTCCACCCAAGTACTTAAATTTATCACAGTTGTGAAACGTGTCTTCTCCAAATTCAAAATTATCTCCTCTCTCTCTGGTATGTTGGGATGTTTTCATATACCTCGTCTTTTCCATGCTTATAATGAGTCCTAACTCTTGAGCTGCATGCTTGAATTCTTCTATAGCGCCGGCTAGTGCTGCTTTAGTTCTTCCTGATATAACATCATCAGCATATGCCATGTGTTGCGTGAGCCTATTATAGAAGGTACCACCAGGGTTCGTCTTAATTTTCCGAAATGCAACCTCTAAAGCGAGATTGAATAGTACAGGAGATAACAGGTTCCCCTGTATTAAGCCATTGTTAACCTTAAAACTTTTTTTTTTTTTTGTTCTCCCTTTCCTCGCCGCTAAGGCTATACGGAGTTTTCCCGAGCCAGGAGGTGTGGGCGGGGATTTAACCTCAAAACTATCTGGCATACCCACTCTGGTTTTGGATCATACAGCTTGTCCTTTCTATGGTCATTCTGGTCAATCTTATTAGTTTACTAGGAATCCCCAGTGACTGTTAGGCTTCCAATAGCTTGTTCCTGTTCACACTGTCATATGCCTGCCGGAAGTCAATGAATAGCTGTATAACGTATATATCAGGATAATTACTTCGGAACAAAGAAAGAAACTAACTACCTATATGAAATGGTGTTTAAGTGATTCTTTAAGTCCTACTAAATGTAATTAGACGAACAATAATACTTTCAGAGATAATTTTTTCATAAAACTTTATTATATTTTACCCTTTTGGGGAGAGTGGTTAGGGGATTAGCCTGAAAGCCTCCCTCCTTGTAGATCCACCCGTGTTCTTACCCATCCCTATTGGTAATTTTAAGCGAACCCTGCACGGTCAGTCCCACGGGCGGGTAAAATATAACCATGTTTTATAGAAAAAAATGGTCTCTTAAAGTATTTTCGTTCCTTTAATTACATTCGAAAGGACTTTAGGAATCACTTAAACACCATTTCATACAGATGGTTAGTTTCTTTCTTTTTTTCCAAAGTAATTATTGTTATTATTATAAAAAAAAAAATCTTTCGGGCTTAAGCCCCTTCCCCCCAAATTAAATCCTGGATCCGCTAGTGGTCAGTCCGAATGGCATTCCGAAGCCCTATTGACATTCTAATTGGTCATGTAAAGTTATGATTGAAGTATGGGCTTGAATTGAAATACTGCATCATACACAAAGTAATAGAAAGATTATGATAAACTACTGATCAATTTGTGTCAGATACAAAAGTATCAGATAAAAGTACCAGATACAAAAAAGTAGCACTTCGGTTATATCGCTAATCGCTTTAACACCATATAATTTAGCTAAAAAATTTTTATCTATATTTTTGACATAAAGTAACTATAGACAACAATTATAAACTTCATTTTGCACTAATTGTACAAAAAAGTAAAATTTCATAATTCAAATTGTATAAGCGCAAAAAAAATATTCGTACTTTCAACTTTTATTTAAATTGCATCGCAAAACGTCATATTTGTCAGTATTCATAATCCCGTCAATAAAGGCTAGTTCACCAACTTTTTTCGGCACCCGTACAGCCCCAAACCATGTCACTGCCCCCTCAGTGCCTCACTGTCGTTTGTAGATTTTGGGATTCTAATGCCTTTCCTTTTTTTCTCCAAACGTATCTTTTTCAGCATTACATAAAATTAATGCAAAACGAAGATTGTAATCGATATCTGCCGTTATTTTTTAACTATAAAAAAATTATCGTTAACCATTTTGGCCAAAAATACGGTGTATGAATACATTTTTTGCCCACCGTAGGTAGTTTGTTTCTTTATTTTTCTTCCAAAGTAATTACCGTCATATATACATATATAAAAGCTTTCGAGCTGAAAGATCCTTCTCCCCATAAAATTAATCCTGGGTCCGCTAGCGAACCCAGTAGATTGAACTTAGTCAAAAACACTAATTGATTCACTTTATTGGGATAGATGTAGGGAAAATCTTACCATGTACTTAGCCAGTATATTGATCTAGTTAAAAAATAACTAGTTAGTTAAACGTATGGTATAGAGGTGGAGAAAAGCTTACATTTACTGTATAAGGACCCAATGTATTAAGTCCAAAGAACTGTTGGTGCAGTGGGATCAGATACTTTAACCTTCCTCAGTTGTGTACCCTACGTTTAGCTGAATAGTTAATTTAAACTAATTCGTTCAGGACCTACACCACTCTACTTTGTTTTAGTCATATAAACAATACAAAATGTAAACGTCTGAGATTCAGCAATTTCAAAATCTACAACTAATAAATTCGATAATCTCAATCTGCAATGTCAAGGAAAATACCATACTATCACTAGTGAGTCATGAAGTGGAATATAGAAAATTATTGAATACATTTATTGAAAAGAAACTTCTATTTCAATGCATTAGTCCGCAGTTGACCTAGCTAAAAATTATTGCTTACAATTAGTTAAATGGTAATCCTGAGGCCATTTTCTTTTCAGACAGTCTTTTCAGGAATCTAGGAGGAAGCAAAACTGGAAACAAGTGCGTTTGGATGGATGTGGGGTTTATCATGAATTCCTTTAAAGGATGGGTATCTGGCCAAATCATACAAAGCTAAAAAGAAAAAAAAAGCCATCGATGATTCAATAGATAAATTAAGGAAAACGCTGAATTCCATCCATCACTGATAGCTTAGTGATTCTATCGGTTTTGGGATCAATAGATCCGCTGTATGTGATCTTATGTAATCTCAGCGTTGTTTCACAGTTTACTGTTTGTATTAATACATATAGAAAATAAATACGGTTAGATAGTAAACTGAATTCAGTAAGTATTCAACAATTTATTAGGTAGATATTTTCTTATATTTTTGCTGTCTTTCAAAACCACCCTTCCGCTGGAGTCCTGCCGGTATATTCTAAACTCAGCTTAAATCGCTGTTCATAGGTTGTAGATTCAATATATTGATGCATTCTATCGATAGAATTAATGCTGAGTTTAGGAACTGGCTAAATAACAATTACAATATAATAAAAGTGATCGTTAAGTAATAAAACAGATTGAAATCAAAAATGTTGCGAATAATATTTGCTTACGAATTTATACTCAAGTTGACCACGCAACTGTATTTAGAGCACATATCCGTTATTTTTATTTATCCAAATGAACTATGTCAAAAAAACATAAAGATACCATTGTTCTCAAATTAATAGTTATTGAGATTAAGCAAGGATGCGGAGAGATTCGTCTTTTAAGCGATTTGCTTATTCTCTGTTCTGATTTGTTTCATACAGCTCATTCGAATTTCAAAATAATTTTGGACATTGGCTCTTTTTGTTCCAAGGTACTAATATAATTCTGCGGAATTTTAAGTAAAAATTCCTTTCGTTTTTATTTTTACAAATATTAAAATTGTGGATTAATAGTTGACTGTCGTGATCATAATGACAAGGAGTTTAGTGGGGTAAGCAGTCACAAGTAAAAAAAGTAAAAATAAATAAATTATATTTATTTTATTTAGTAAATATAATTTATTTTTTTTTACTTGTGACTGTTCACCTCAACCAACCCCTTTTCATTACAAATATTAAATGTGATTCAACCTCAGGCCATAAATAATAGTAGTGACAAGTTTCTAGAAAGTTATTTTATTTAAATCATACAACACAAAGTAAGAAAAATCATAGTAATCATAATACGCATTTTCAAGGTATATGTTTTTGTAAGTTGTCTTTAATTACATTTTTTATTTCACCATATTTTAATCCGTAGGTTATTTATACCTCTTTGGATATGGAATATGCTTTTGTTTTGTTTGTTTACAAGAATTTCGGATGTTTCAATTTGTGAAGCTGGAATCAGGTGTTAATTTCGTGGGTTGTGTTAATTTTGCAAAGAAAAGTGGTCATCAATTATGATAAAATGGTTAGTTTTTATTGACTTTGTACAGGCCTCTTCTGATATTTTTTTAGTAAGTTAAATCGTTATTAATTCCTTTATTTTTATAATTTCTTTGGGAAACTATACAATTCCATGAAATCACCATGGCGCTAAGTATCAAAGAAATTCAGGTCCTTCTTGGTATTCTTATGGATGAAAATTTAGAAAACCATTCCATCGAACACATTATAAGCCAGGTCAATCAACACATTTCAAAATCAAGTTATTTCAAACTGGGACATGCCATTGTTACTGTTATTGTTAACAGCATAATACAAAAACCAAGTCAAAGAATTGTTGCACTCAGCATTTTATATGACTTGTATAAAACTGACTCTTTTGCTCATAATCCATTTGGTATATTCTTCATTGAATTGTTGCAACCTGAAAGTAGCAGAAAATTTTCAACGCAAGATGTTAGGCTGAAACCAGTTGAGCGCAGTTTTTTATCACACCTCATTGCCTCTAATCAAGGAAAAGAATTACTTAAGAAGACCCCAGCATTTATCATCCATACTGACAACACAACTATTGCTGATTTCTCTCACCTGAAACATTTAGCTGAAGAATTTGTTTCAGACCATTTACCATCAACAAGAAATCACATTTCTCCTCTTATACCTGAGCATGCTGTAGGAAATCAGATAGCAGACCCAAGTGATGCTAGAAAAACTGCTGAAGCTTTATTATCTGATCCTAACTCTCCAGCAAGAGATACATATAGACCTGAAATGATACGACTGGTTCCACCTCTTTATTTTGATGATCAGGAGATGATTTGGCTTGAAGAACCTGTGTTGAATGAACATTTAGTAGCTTATGACTCTTCATTATCTGTTCCTCACGATAGTGGAACTGAAGCCAAAAAATTGATGGTTAAAGCATACAAAAATGTTTTAAGTCTCCAACAACAACAGCTGTTGCTTACAGCACTAGACAAAGATCCAAAATTAGTGAATCACATTGGCTTGACTCCTAGCAAACTACCTGATTTGGTTGAAAATAATCCACTAGTAGCTATTGAAGTGTTATTAAAACTTATGCAGTCATCACAGATAACGGAGTATTTTAGTGTATTAGTAAACATGGAAATGTCCCTCCATTCAATGGAAGTTGTCAATCGATTGACTACAACAGTTGATTTGCCTACAGAATTTGTTCATTTGTACATTTCTAATTGTATTTCGACTTGTGAAACAATCAAGGACAGATATATGCAAAACAGATTAGTCAGGCTTGTATGTGTTTTCCTACAGTCACTTATAAGGAATAAAATCATCAATGTTCAAGAATTATTTATTGAAGTTCAAGCATTTTGTATAGAATTCAGTCGAATAAGAGAAGCTGCAGCTCTATTCCGTCTTTTGAAACAATTAGAAACGGGAGAAAATCCAGGACAATCGTTATCCGTTACAAATATGAGGTCATGATCTTCAAATGAAGAAATGCTTAGCTCTGTTTACTGTGAAACAGTTGATATGCTAGAAAATTGAGTTATAAAAGTGTGTTAAGAAATTAAAAATTTAATTATCTTATTTTGAAAATATTGCTTCATAACTTTGGCTTATGGACAAACAATTTTAAGAGTTATTGAAAAAAAAGGTGTAATAGGATTTTTGTAATAACGACCAAGTTCTTCAAATTTGTTCGATCTTCTATGTTTACATTTGTTAATAGTGTTGATGAACACTTACACTTATTTCATGAGAATATTAATTATAAATATATTATAGTACGATTTAATTTTGTTTTAATATTTGAAAATGGTTAAAACACTTTTCAATAATGTTGGAAATATAGTTTAACATAAATTTCATTTCTGTTTAATAGATAAATTGATTTAACTTGTCTATTTAGCAACACTGATATACTAATTTTTTTTTTTAGACAGGGTAGGTTTCTGTATTTTATTCATTTAGGGCCATTTGTTGAATAAGAGTTGGATTTAATTCTAGTATAACAATAATCCTGCAATAAATTATTCTCACGATATCATAAGCTGTGGAATAAAATAAGATCCCAGAACTCTTTTACTGTATGAACAGATTACTTTACACCAATTTTTGTCTCATAATAATTATCTCCACAAAAAGTTAAGTTAAATTAAAGCTTTAACTCTTAACTTAGCAATCAGCCCTTAGTGTTGCAAATGTAATCAGCCCCTTTAAAAAAATGTATTTATTTACAAGTTTGTTAAGTAGTTATTAATTAAAACTGTAATATGATCTTCCAATGAATAACCATGATTTTCCAGTCTCGTGATTACATTTTAATCTACATATTAATAATCAATATAAATATGGTTATTTAAATACTACAAATCTATTTGGAATTAACCAGCTACTATATTTCTATATAGTAGCTGATTATTTCCATTACGATGGTATTAATAAGCTTAACTACTATATTTGGAGTTAATCAGCTGACAGTATAATATTTTTGAACAATTAGTTTAAAAAAATGTAGCTTCATTCATTTCGTTGTTAACTGTCCATTCTTAAATAGGGACCATTGATAAAACAAAAGAATTTTTTTTTTTTTAAAGAATGGCGTTATGTTGATTTCTAATGCTTAATAAATCAATAAATAATTTTTTTTTATTACTGCCTTAACTTTTAAAAACTTACATCTTCAGGAATAACAAAATACTGAATTTTTTTGGCTGTTTTCTAATAACACAGATGCCAAAAAAATTGACTCAACCATTATTTGGTGTGGTTTCCAATGAACTTATAATTAATATCCATCCACTTTTTAAAATAATAAACGAAACCAATGAAAATTGTTATTGAATTGAAATTGAATACATTTTCTTTCTGTGTGTAAACATTTGAATTTTAGTAGGTGGTTTTAGATTTTCTTACCTTTCTTACTGTTTTGGGCTAGTTCAGTGCCGAGTTTAGGAACTTGCCATTTTATGCAATTTGATTTTTTGAGGAACATTTCAATATTTTCCCATTAAGGCACCCCTTAGTTCTCAAAAAAATTCTGATATTGTTGGTTTTAAATATTCCTTTTGTTGGTATTCAATGAAGTTAAGCTCTGGAAAGCACAATGACCACTCAACAGTAAATATAAGTTTATTCTTAGTGTAGGAATGGTGACTACTTTTACCTTTTCAGAGTAAGATATTTCAGAAGTAATATGAGAAATTTTTTTTTCAGTTTATGAGTTCAGGTTTTGAAAGAATCTATCAACATAAAATGTTTCTTTTCAGTATCAAAGAAACAAGATGCACATATTAGATTAATCGTTATAATCGGCAAATAAATTTGATATTTCTTTATGATCTGAGCTCATTGATTTATATTTTGAATTTTTGTAACACATACATCATATATAAAACAAAAACAAGTTTTCTTGGTTAAAAAAAGATTTTGAAAATGTATTAATTATTAGTTTCTTGATTTTAACTATTTTTTAAAATTTGATGCAGTAATAATGAATAACCTTCTCCTTCAGACTTGCAAACCATATAAATGCCCAATTAGTTTGAGTTGTTTATAAAAAGACAATTATATATGTATTGTGGGGAATTTCATACCAAAGTTTATGAAGTAATCAGAACGGGTATTACGTACTTATATTATTGATAAATGGTCAAAGCCTTAGCTTGTAAGTATGACAATATTTCTGTCATATATTGATGAGTTATCATATGCTGGATTAAATTTTGGTTTTGTAACAGTGTACTAACCAAATAAACTTTAAGAGATAGTTAACGAAACTTTTATTTTAGGTTTTAAATTTAAATATTCAATTTTGTCTCAGTTCAAATATACTCCATTTATTAGGCTCATGAAAAACTCATCAATTATAAGTATGATGTCTGAATCAATTACATTATCCATGCATGTATTTGTGTTTTACTAATAGGAACGAAGATCTGTTTTCTTATGATCCAAAATGTGATAGTTACTCAGTGTATTGTAAAATATGTCATAACGTATTCTGCCTTATGAACTAAAAATTTATATCGTATATTTCGTAACTAGGTTACATCAGTCTAGAACTGTGTAATTATTAAGTACAATTATTACATGTAATTCAATTGTAAATAAGTGCCTGACAATCAATTTTATTAAAAGAAAGTAAATTATTTATGCTTTCTGGACTGTAAGAATTTTTTTCTGTGTGAATAATATTATCATTTAGTTTCTTCATTGCTTTGTAATAATAATGCAATTGTATATGTGTAAATAGCTGTTTGAGGTTGTTTGACAAATAACTTTGTTTTATGTAATGTATTTTTAAGTTTGATCTATCACTTAATTTTTTTATAAGAAAAATTTGTAAGGATGTGTTATTATATAAATTTTAATCATACGATTAAATTAATTTATTTTTTCTTCCCTTTTTCTATTTATCGCACAACATAGTACTGTTTGATGCTAACTATATCTATAACTATAATGCGTTATATGCATAGGTACGATCTATATGAAACATGCAGCAAACAATACTTCAATAAAAAAAAGTCTGATGTGCACACATCACACAACATTCATATACCATCCTACTTACAGTAGTAGGTTTAGGGTTTTTTTTTTTTTTTTTAACAATTAATTATTTTGTTTTTCCTCCATATCTACTTTATTGAATTTATGTGTTTTTGTCACTGTCCGTTTCCTTTTACGACTGTATATTTAAAATGTTCATTTAATTATAAAGGTCCTTCAGACCGACAAACTTTTAACAGATTGAACAACGAACTTAAAAGACATATTCAAAAATTCAAAAGCACAAACTACGACAATTTTATTAACAACCTTTCGACGGATGTTGGAAATTTATGGAGACATACAAGGAATCTTTTAAAGCATCGTGAGGTGTCAGCACCCCTATGAAGAGAGGATAGCTCTTGGTCTGTTTCGGACAAGGAAAGATCTGAACTCTTTGCTAATCACCTTTCCACTGTTTTTAAACCACATACAGACTTAATTAATACAGAACACGATATGTTTGTACATAATAACTTAGACATACCGCTACATCTCACACTACCACCACCTCCTTTCACACCATCACAAATTGCACAAGAAATTAGACAATTGCCCAAAAGAAAAACCCCTGGTCATGACTTGATAACTGCTGAGGCGTTCCAGCAAATGCCAAGGAAAGCTCTAGTGTTTCTTACCACAATCTTCAATTGCGCTCTCAGGACCCCCAAATTTCCTATACAATGGAAATACTCACACATAACCATGATTAAAAAGCCAGACAAAGACACTAACAATCCTTCTTCATATCGACCAATTAGTTTACTTCCAGTATGTTCTAAGTTGTTCGAAAAACTATTGTACCCACGACTATTACATATACTAACAGACGAGACAGATTATTTCTGACCATCAATTCGGATTTCGAAAATTACATTCAACAACACAACAATTGCACAGGGTGACTAACTACATCTCTACAGCACTAGAGCGGAAATTATATGCAACCGGAGTATTTCTGGATGTCGCCCAAGAGTTCGACAAAGTGTGGCATCAGGGGCTTCTCTTCAAGCTTAATACCATACTTCCACATACTCAATACTTAATTCTCCATTCTTTTCTCTCTGATAGATTTTTCTCCGTTCGACATGGGCAAGGTCTATCCTCAATTTGATCAGTTTTAGCTGGTGTACCTCAGGGATCAATCCTAGCCCCACTACTGTACATCACATACACACACGACATTCCTCAAAGTATCCACACTCTTACAGCAACCTACACAGACGACACTGCTATCATTACCAGGCACAACAATCCTACAGAGGCATCACTTAACTTACAACATCACTTACAAATTATACTCGATTGGTGTAAACTTTGGAAAACTAAAATAAATTATCAAAAGTCACAGAACATCACATTTACTCAGACCAGAAACATGCCCTCCTGTATACTTAGACAACATACCGATTCCACAAACAGACAGAGTACAATACCTAGGCCTTACGTTCGATAGGAGAATGACATGGGGTCCACATGTGAAGAAAAAACGAATCACATTAAATCTAGGACTAAAATTGTTACATACACTGTTAAGACGACATTCCAAATTAAAATCAAGACAGAAACTAAGTATTTACACATATCTTTTAAAACCTCTTTGGACTTATGGACTACAAATATACGGAATTGCAAAACCAACTCACATAAAAAAACTTCAAACTTTTCAGTCTAAGATACTACGACTAATCACTCAAGCACCTCGGTACATAAACAATCACACTTAACACACCGATCTATACGTTCCGGCAGTCAATGAACACTTACGAACGTACTTCAAACGATTTCATAACATGTTAAACGGGCACTCCAACCAGCTGGTAAAAGAAAGGGGCACAAATAGTATGCCCGATAACTCCAGAAGACGACTGAAAAGGGTCTGGATGAGGGATCTGCTTAAATAATGTTAGTAAATAAAAGCCATGGAAGGG